GTGCTTTTAGGTGGCAAGTACGCGATTCTTAGGCCGCCATGGCAAAAAACTAAAGTCTGTGACCATCATCCACTCCTCCACTACTGAAACCGTCCGCCTGCCTGACGCTGCTGACCAGGGACTAATCGTTCACACTGCTGTCAGGTAATTTATAACTTATGAGTTCCTTAAATAATAATGTATTGTTTTATCTTTACGATTACCGTTTGTTTACGTATAGGAAGATTTTATATAATAAATAACCAGCTTCTGCTCGTTACTTTACAGGTCCAAACTACCTCTTAAGAAGAAAGTAGCTCTCCGAACTCGAGCTTACCGCAACAAGAAAGATCACAAAAAGTTAGGAGACAAAGCTTCTCCGATGCACAGTGCCAATAAAAAGAGGGTAAGTTCAACACTTAGATCCAACTCATGCAGATCTAAATAACCGATCATATTCAATATTTAATTTCACTTTATATCTTTACAGAAGCCAAATAGTCAAGCAAAATTAGAAGATGTTCCTAAAATAGCGAAAGAAAATACAGTGATCGTCACAAACGCCGAAGGCAAATCTCCAAAACATGTTATACTTTCCAAACACAAAGGTAAAGTGAAGAAACGCAAGTCCAAAATGAAGAAAGAAATCATAGACTACAGCTCCATGCAGAAACACCCCTCCTCGCCAATCAAAGACACCGAAGCTTTAAGTAAGGTGCAAAGATGGCTGCTTAGTTCACCACAGCCCACTGCCATACCCAAATCTAAATCCATACCTGTAGGTCTAACGGAGAGAACACACCGACAAATACAGAAAGGATCGAGAAAAACCAGACCGTCCAAGAGCGCCACCAACTTGTTGTCCGGCGAGAAAGCCAGGTTGCAAGTCGTGTTCAAACCTCCCTTTAGGTTCAGTGTCAAAATATGTAAAAGTGATAAAACTAAAGTCGTCCTAGACAAATCGTCTAAGCCCGACGTGGACAGGAAACGACACGAAGTGGCGCCACAACAACCTCCTGCAGACGTCGCGAAAGCTAATCCATCCAGTAAAGCGCCTAAACCTTCTAATTCCATGAGGATTGCAGAAGCCGCTGCAACTCCTAGTGCTCCAAAGTTAGAAAAGTTACAAAATCAAGAAAACAAAACCCATGATTATGCTAATTTACTACCTCGAAGTGCCAGTGACTGTAAGCTAACGAAAAAAATGCCAGATGTCAAAGTCAATAATGGACATAAAAAGAGTAACTCCGTAGGCCAAAAGAAAGAAACCACTGAAAGTCGCCAGAATCTTATATCACAAGAAGATGGTGAAAACGCTCACGTTTATGAAAATGTGGTATTGTCACAAGACGCTTTCGTTCCTAAGAGTTGCAGCATGCCGCGTCGACAAAACAGTGCCGGTGTTGGTATAGCTCGACAAAGCAGTTACGGCCATTTACCCAGAGCTCAAATCCGCCCACATAGACATAGTACAAACAATATAAGCAGATCCAGAAATAGCAGCACCTCTGAGCTGGAACACTTCTATAATGTTATCGAATCGCTACGACGAAACAACGCCAACGATGCGAACACCTGTAACACGAATACAAGCAGTTCATCGAGTAGTAGCCGACACGACAGTGCGTTACTCAAACACACTTCCAACTCTAGACACGGAGGAAGCAAAACTTCACGTCAAAACAGTCTAGTCGATAAGCCAGCGCGGTCCAGTCCGATCGAGTCTTCTAAACTTCAGAGACAGCTTAGTGAAGCTGAGTTGGCCAAATCACAAGGCGATAGTGGCCTGAGGGGCTTCCAGCTGGTCGTAGGGAAAGATAAGTTAAAACGACAGTTAAGTGATAATGAATTGTGTAAATCTCGAGTGCAGTTGGCGATGCCGATGTCAGCTGGGGCAGAGCCGCGGCAGGCATTCTGCTGGAACAAGCGAGCCAGCCTCGACTGTGAGGCGTCGCTGCCAGCCGGGCCCCGCGCCTCCAACTCTAGAAATAAAAAACGAACGACTTATACATTCGGTGAACTGAAAAACACCGTGCCTAACGCGACGGACACATCGCCCCCCGAAGACGTCCACATCTCCCCCGAGGAGTTTTTAAAGATAATTGATAATTAAGTATTACTGGGGACATATAAGCGTATTGTAACCTTAAGTGGTGATTTAAATATGAACAAACAATTAATGTGTATATTAGATACCTATTCGCAAGATGTACTATTGTCGGCTGGTGTAAATATTGTAATTTGCTTTTAATATTAGTACTAATGTAACCTGCCACTGAAACAGACCATTGCTCAGTTTGTCTCCGTCACCGTACACGAACATACAATAGGTACAATAATAAGTACACACGTAGATAATACTCTACAGATCAAGAAGTACATTTAAGTTAATATTTAGGGACAGTATATAATGCGCCAGTAAGTTTAAAACTTTTATTTCTTACTTTTATAATTTTGTTTATGCTAAAATATTTGAAATACATGGCGTAGTAGTACTTACAACTGGCAATGATCTAGTTTCACTGAACGATCTCTATAAAATGAATCTCTATTTTTTCTACATGCTATGTATTGTACAAATTTACTCAAACCTATGTAAAGTGTTCATGTAAGATTATTTAATTACTTTACGTAATTTCTTTTACTATTATTTTATATCCACTTGTGTACAAGTTGGTTCTCTTTATTTTTTTTTATAATAATACGAGTATGATTGATTCCTTTTACATAGCTGTCAATTAGCAAGTCAATCTGTCAACTTTATAGTAAATATTTAAGAAATTTTGCCTGTACCCACACCATATTGTTAAAAAGGATACAAATTAATTATAATTTATTAATGGCAAGGCTGGCATAGGATTCTATATGACTGACATTTGCAATACGTACGTCTCAGTGAACCAAAATAACAATTAAGTACAAGAAAAACCTTAGGTACGTAAAATCATTTGGACAATATTATATACTTACATGCAATTGTTTTTCTCCAATCTTTTTCAGCTAAACGTGATAGAATCCTATGAAAACCTATTGTATAAAAACAATAAAACGAACGTAAAATGGTTTTATTAATAAAAATATTTTTCTATGCGTATTGGATTTAATGGAACTAATTACTAACAGACTCGTACGTAAGCGAACTCATGGCTGTAACTTTCTTTACACTTTTTGTTCTGCAATATCTGGGATGGAATGTAATTTTGTTAATTCATGTATTAGTATGACAATATTGTAGTGCATAATGTAAGTAATTAATAACTCTTTGAAATATTGTAATTGTATAATGCTGTCTAGTTGTTAGGTACAAAATTGATTTTTTTAAGTTCCCGCCTAAATTAGGTGTTGTGATAAATTAATTTTGTCTATGATTATTTTATCCAAAGAATGTTGCATGTGTAAAATATTATAATTATATGAATATTGCCATATTTTAAACCGAAACTGTATAATGAATAGTTGCAATAAATAGTGAATCAACATTAAGTTTGAAAAGAGAGATTATGAAGACTTCTTTTCTATCCCCTGATTCGTATTCACTGTTTTATTGTACTTTAATAATATGTTGAGCTGTTATAGGTTCACTTTTCACATTACAACGATCAGTTAGATTCCAATTATGACTCAGCTAAACCATTATTATGTAAAAAAACATGTACTTTATTATATTTGGTGCAGAATAAGTGCATGTATATTGTTTATATTATGATAGCTGGTTTTATTTCTATCTCAGATATTAATCAAAATGTGTTCCAGTATTTTCGTGAGACGTGCGAAAGCTTTGCGGCTGTGGCACAGCGTTTATGAGCTTCGACGTAGGGAGGTAAGGGTAAAACGTAAAAGCTATTGTATTGTATAGGAACTGATTTCTAAGAAGATCCTAAGGTATTGGAAATGTTACAAATTTGTATTTTATAAAAATACTAATGTGGATAAAGTGAAGATAGGATAAGCAACTGGCCACATCTGCTGGGTAATCACCTGAAGCTTACGCCTATATATTCGCAGTTATCCATGCCTATATTAGAATCTATTCGTCTTGAGTGAGTTTGTTTTATCTTGTCTAAGTCTATTAACTCTTCCTTAGTAAAAAGTTCGATTTAAGTACATGTTAATTGTGAATTTGATATTATATAATTAAATGTGACTAGAATCTATACATCTATTTAATGGTTTTATAGTTGGTAAACTTTCAATAATGAATTGTAAGACAAATTTTATTCTAATTAACTATCTTTACTTTACTTATTAATACAGAACTTTGTGGTGTTATCTGATATTTACGCATCTGACTACAATCTCACTGTATTTGTTCCAAGTGCCTTATGAACAAATCATTACATTCCTAATTACATTCCAAATTCAAGCCTATTTTCAGTTTTTCTTAACGGTATGTTATGCAGTTATGCTCGTTGTTTTATTGCTTATCTACTTTAATATAATGATCTGATTGTAACAAAAGTGGCAAAGTTGTAATAAGAATCATATTAATACAATTAAACTGTTTGAGTACTTAATTAATCTGTGATGTACCTACGTTTATTACAATCTATCTTATCTTACTCTCTGACTATACCTAAGTTATTATTTTACAAATTATTACTTTACAATAACTTCCTATTTACCGTTACATTATTAAAAATATCCATTATGAATACAAATTTGTAATAAATTCATTTTCTAACATTTACTATTTTTTTCTGCATTTTTAATGGATTAAAAAGACTCCAACAATATGTATGTCTTTCATTTACCTAATTATCTATTATATTATAATCTACATGTATAATTCTAATAATATTCTGCGATTCTGTGCAATTTTATATAAGTAATAGACAACAGCATTTTTTTTTATTTTGAGCGTACAATTACTTATAACCTCTTTTACTACAGGCATTTATTTTCTATATTCATTTTTAAAAACATAGCAATTATTTTTTTCAACTGTCTTTTGTTTAACCTATCAAAGTTGTTATTTTTCATCAAACAGCTATTTTGATGATATTTTATCAGTGTAATTAGAAATGGCTCCTATCCGCTATAGTCTCCACTATGAAGATTATTCTGAACATCTCATGTCGAGATTTGGTATTCTGTTGCAAATGCAGTCATTAGTTGATATGACACTCATGTGCAGCTCTCATACTTTGCGTGTGCATAAAGCTGTACTTGCAGCAAGCAGTGCTTATTTTCAGGTATATGAATTTGCCGTATGTATATAGATAATTATTAATTAAGTAGTGTTTCAATTTTCAAGAGTTAAATACCAGTTACAAGATACAATGAAAATTGCCGCCAAATTGACAAGCAAAAAATGTCAAGTAATATTTATGTATAAATACTACTAACTCTATATATACCTCTCACTCAATATTTTAGGAGGTGTTGCAAAAGCAAACAGGGGAGCCGCTAATAATATTAAAAATGCGCTTCAGTGTATTAAAATGTTTAGTAGAATTCATGTATTGTGGAAAAACACAGTGTCTAGAAGAGAATTTAGACGAACTGGTGTCAGCTGCACAGTTTTTAAAGATTAAAGGTCTTTCAAAAGTCACTAAAGAAGGTCTGGGCATTTCAAACAACAGTAAGTAATGGCATTAAACAGTTTTATTTAGAAGTTATCAAACATTCTCATATAACGACTACGAACAAATCGCCCATATAACGATACAGTACAGATCATTTCTAACATTTTTATCTCACAAAGGCATAGAAAAATGGTTATTAATTGTTAATTACCAACAGTGATAATTTAAAAATGGTCTACGCAGAAACTCAAAACTTAAACATAATAATGGGTAACCATAACTGCTGGACAAAAGTTGTAGTTTGGTGCCATCCATGTATGCAATCCCATGCAAGTTAACTGTAGTAACAATTTAAATTCGGTATTAAGTAATTAGTACTTAGTTTTTAAATTACTCGTTTTTTTCGTAATTTTAGGTGAAATGCCAGTCTTCACACCGCCTGTCGTGATCAACAGACCTCCACAATCCCTTATTGATTTACATTCTCAGGTCTGTATTTGACGACTCCTTCCTATTTTTATCTGCGATGAAAAAGTAGGTAGGTTATGTACCAATAGGTCGGCAAACGAGCAGATTGATTACCTGATGGTAAGCAATTAGCGTCGCCCCCATCATAGGAGTTCCTAAGTGCATGGTCCACCTTTTGGGAGTTGTAAGGAATTTGAAAATCAGAAGATGGGCTGACACTCTGGTTACTTGCCTTTCGAAGGTTTATTAGCCAAATAATTACGTTGTCCTCTTAAAATATGCGCTTCATATATACATACAGGTCACATTATTATTTTGTGATCAAAACAAGGTCTTCCCAATTTGGGTGCATTTGAGCGTCAAGGCGCGACCATCGAGCTTTTAGATTAGGAATATGCTATCTCACTCTACATGTACCTACCTAAGTTATACTGCCTGTAACGCTCATACAGTAGTGTTTAGATAATGGAGAAATTCCTGACATTTATTTAAAAAAACAATGTCGTCGTACCTGATTATTTGGCTTGAGTGGCAAATGGGCAGACGCCGTGTAATATAGCGGCAAACAGAAATACATCATTCATCCAAATTATTATTTCAACTGTGTAACCTAACACGGTTCGTAAAATACAGCTTCGTAGGTTTGTACGTTGGTACATTGTCTGTCTGGCAGTGCCTTGTAATAGATACGATAGGATATCTAGAACTACATAATTCTTGGGAGGTTTTTTGATAGAGGTTGCATTAAAATCTTAATAACATGACCACGACTGAAGTACATTTACCTACTGAGTAGGTGCCTAGTAGAATAATTATAAATCGATTAATAATATCGCCATAATAGGAAAGCGACAGTAAAACTCAGCAACCGACCCAGCTCGCCCCAGCGACCAGCACCGGTCAACCAGTCGACAATCTCGGCAGAATGAATAAGGTTTGTTTTATAAATAAATTTCACTGTAGTGTTTACCCGTTAGTAGCAATCACAGAAATGAATAGTTTCCAATTCTCATTGAAATTTAAATAGAGTTCACTACGACTTCTACGACATAAAATGGCTTACACGTCCAGTGGGTTCAAAATTACAAAACCTAGATGATTCCATCTAGGTTTTGTAATTTTTCGATATATGGAATAGTAGATTTAAATTAAATTTTAAATCTTTTATTTTCTAGTCATATATGTAATTTGAGTTCGTAGTTAACATCTACCTTCGCTACTTGTTTACAGGACATGGTAGTCCGCATTCCTTTTGACATTGAAAATGGTGGGAGCACAACCACGGTGGACTATCCGGACGCCCCAAGAGCTATAAAGCCACGGCGTGGCAGGCCCAGTGTTAGGGTAAGTACGACAACCACAAGAAATAATTATTATTCTCCTTTTGACACAGTCTGGTACAATCTTTACGAGATTAGCTAATACATGCTAACATTGTCGTTTTCATTATCAAGTAGGTAGGTACTTACCTACTTGATCACTACATCTATTTTTTTAGATTGAAAAAAATATTTAAAAGGGTTTATCTATTGACTGACTTGAAAATCCTTCAAAAATGATCTGTACCCTTAATTTTCCACATACAGAGACCAGGAGCATGGGAGGGAACAGGACCTTTAGGCCGAGCCGCTGAACGAGCACTTCTACGTCGAGAACAGGACTCCCGCAAAGCAATTCACCAGTTGAAACATTTGCAAACCAGACATATGCAGGTATACCACCTATTTATTGATAGATGAAAATGAACAATTTCGTTCAGTTGAAAAGGTAATACCTAGGTATTTATATTGACATTTTGATTATTTAGGATTACATGGACAGAGTGACGCTCTCACAAGCCGTTAACAGCATCTGCGGCCCAGAGTCCTCCTCTAACTACATGAACATTGACAACGACCTCATGTATATGGACCAGACCGTATCATCCAACGTCCTTGATCCCACCATGTCATACAACAAAGAACACTCCGTAGGAAATGAAACGATCACAAGTTATTCTAACAATAACCCCATTAGTTCAGCTGAATCTTCCACGACTGGAATTAGTACGGCCATGTCACAATATGTGAACGCTTTGAAAAGCGCTGGCTTGCCTACCGATCTACCGATTCTTTTTGAATCCGGTGATGGATCCTACATAAACGTGAATGAACAAGTGCTACTTGACATGGTACAAAGCAGTGAAATACAATACGAAGTTATAGAACAGCCTAATATTATTGAAAAAGTAGCGGATCCCAGTGAAATTAAGAGCATAGATGATTTATCAAAATCTATAGAAAGAGGAGAAATGCTACTTGGTAATAAAGGTTACGGCTCAAACTCTGATTATGATAAGGATTCTTCACAGTATAATCGCAACGAGGATACCATTAATAGTCTCAATGCAATACTACCCGATAACTTGGAATCCTTTGAAGAACAACAAAACTACGTGGTCCTAGACCCTCGTCTACAAGAAAATAATAATTCTATAGACCATGTGAGTGCACATGATTTCTCATGCATAGATGGAGATATGCAATTTTTCACAAAATCTATGAGCGATGATGTAAAGAATTATTACGAAGACCAACAGCTGCACGACGCAAGAGTCATTGAACAACTATGTCCAGCCAGTACATCATTAGATACAAACTTCAGTATTTCATTACTGGATACCAAAACCTCACATTTGAGTTCAAACTTAGGTCAACAGTATAATCCTCTTAACCCAGAAGATCTGAGAAGGAACGAAGACTGTTATGATTTCGGGCTACAACTTTCACAAAGTGCTGATTTTAAAGAAGATGCGCTAGATTGTCTTATGTCAACACCGAAGCGTAATGACGATGACCAAAATAATTACGAAGATAGCGCGCAACTCGATCAACGAGCTCAGGAGAGAGATGAAATCATAAAAGATTTAATTAACATCGAAAGTAAAATGAACATGGCACAAAATCATAATTCTTCTAAAGATGATCAAGATAATATAAATTCCAATCCTGATTCTAACGTTCAGGATTTCAGCGTAAATGCTCTGAATGTGTCTAATGTATTTGACAACGACTCTGACAACATGAAAGATTTGAATACATCAAAGAACAATAATGAAGATATGTCGGCAACAATAACTTCGAGCGGCTTACAATGGGACAATTTAGACATAAGTAAGAAAACGCATGAAAGTAACGAGGATACTGTAAGTAATGAGCATAGAACGAGTAATGAAAGCCAAATTGATCCATTGGTACCAGAATCTCGGTATCAAGAACCTGTGATAGATTTGACCGACCCAGTAAATGTCGAAAGTAGTCAGTGGACAGATATTATTAATGAAAACGATGATCTTAATAAGGAAAATGAACAACCTAATACACAAGATAACAAAATAAATCCCACGTTGGAAAATAATATACCATATGCAGTGGGACTACTTCCTCTAAAACAGTTGCAACCAACGGAAGAGGGGAGTTTATTGAAAAGGAAGAACTCTATTGACGGTGATTTACTAGATAATGTAGATGCTAAATGTTTAAAACGTAAGGTGAAATATAAGAAATTGTGACAAAATGTAAAGTTGTAATGTATTGTAATGTTAATTAAACAGTTAAATCTTGCTCATGCACAAACCAAGTTCTTGATTTATTTCTCATTCACACGAGTCCCACTCATATAGATATGGTTATTTGCTACCACCACTCCTCTTCATGTTCGACTTTGGGATGTTTCCTTGCCTGTTTCGGTCACGACTGGTGGATATTAGAGAACATTAAAATTTTAAAACACTTACCAACCCTGGAGGACTTTGCCCCTTTTTGTCTCTATCTACCACTAGCTACTGCCCCGCGGTTTCACTTGCTGCTCGGCTCCTATTGATCGTAGTATCATGTTTTTAGCCTATAGAACACAGGAACATTGTAGCTGAATCAGTGAAAGCTGGAATTCCGACCAGTGGTTTCAAAGGTCCCCTACATACAAACTTACAAATTTTACCTCTTGGTATTTTAACCTATTAAAACTATTATTAGCTACCAAGGGCGGTCAGTGAACACCAAACTGATATTTTGATATGGAATAGGAGGCAAACGAGCAGACGGATCACCTGATGGTAAGCAATCGGCGCCGCCCATGGACACCTGCAACACCAGAGGAGTCACAGGTACGTTGCCGGCCTTTTTAGAAGGACTACGCTCGTTTCTTGAAGGTTTGAAGGTCGTATCGGTTCGGGAGTACCACCGCCGGAAGATCATTCCAAAGCTTTGCTATGCGGGGCAGAAAGTTACGCGAGAATCGCACAGTTGACTGCCAACCATCTATGTTGATCATGTCGTGGTGGCCCGGAGGTTAAGGAGCCCGCTTCTCATGCATGAGGGTGTGGTTTCGAAACCTGGCAACTTTTTCCGAGTTATATGTACCGTAAAACGGGGTGAATAGAATTCGAGGGGTAAATAGACACGGAAGAGGGGTGAATAGATACTAGGAAAATTCGCCAACATCTATTCACCCCTTTCGTGTATCTATTCACCCCTCAAATTCTATTCACCCCGTTTTACCGTACTTTCTTTCATTATTTATACACCACTGACATACGGTGAAGGTAAACATCGTGAGGAAATATGAACTTATAATTTCTAATTATAAGTTTGAAATCGCCAACCCGCATTGAGCAAGCATGGTGATTAATGCTCTCCGTATGAGAACAGGCCTTTGCTCAGTAGTGGGCACTTATAGGCTGATGATGAATGATGAATGAACCATCTATGTGATGGGGATGAACATGTTTTATCGTGGAACGATAGCGAAAAGATGCGGCGGGGATCAAACCGAACAATTCCTCAGAACACTCCCCGTGATAAAGGCGATAGAGAATACATAGCGAGGCTAAATCCCTACGCAGTGCCAAAAAGTGCAGCCGGTCCGAGACAACAGGGCAGTCAACAATTCGGACAGCTCGTCGTTGAATGCGGTCCAGAGGGAGAAGCTGGTACTGGGGTGCCCCTGTCCAAAGATGAGAACAGTATTCCATATGGGGCCGAACTTGCGCCTTGTAAATTAGCAGGCGATGCCCCGGGGTGAAATACTGCCTCGATCTATTGATCGCACCAAGCTTCTTCGAGGCTAACAAACAACAACTTTGTGGGGTTAAATTTTAAAGTTAAGTCTACCCCAATCTGAGATTCTTTCTAAAGAATTTCTTTATAAAGAAGTCTCGATTTCAGACACAAGCCTGTTTCGACTCTCTCACGACCAGCGTAAAAGGCATCGCCCGTGCTGGCATCTGCATAACAATGAATGCCACTAATTTGCAACATATCATTGATATGGAGGAGGAACAGAGTAGGCGATAGTACGCAGCCTTGAGGCACGCTAGCGTTCACAGGCAATCAGAGCATTCACCGTCGACCGCGACCTTTATGCTTCTGTCTGCAAGGAAGCTGGATACCCATTTAAACAGTTTCTCGGGAAGCCCATAAGAAGGTAGCTTCGTAATTAGCCCTTTATGCCAAACCCGATCAAAGGCCTTTGCTACGTCCAAACGGACTGCCATCGCTTCCCCCTTGGACTCGATCGCCTGTGCCCAACGGCGGGTCAGATAATCACCAGCGGACCAGCCCTTACGAAAACCGTACTGTCGGTCACTAAGAAGCTGATTATTTTCCAAGTACCGAAGGAGTTGGCAGTTAATAGACGACTCCATTATTTTCGAGAAGAGGGAAGTTATGGCTATCGGTCTGCAATTGGACGGATTTCAAACTAGATTTTTTTCAGAATTTTCTCGCCGAAACGAGTTGACAGGGGTGATCATGACTATTAATGATCACTCATGTCATCCCGTTTCGACTTGACGTTGAATTGTGGGACCCTGTATAATAAACGATTTAATGAAAACACATATCTTTCTGTAAATTTTACTGGAAACAGATACATATTACAATGATAATTTTAACATTTATAAGGCATTTCATAACTTTACATCTAGTACACTACAACAAGAATTTGAAATATTAATTCACTCAGCAGGCAAACGTTAGGCGGTTACGGTAGTGTACTACATTGTCAATCGTAATAAGTAGTCTTTATGACGACACAATCATTTTTAATTTATTATTATCGTAGTTCTGATCTCAAGATAAAAAATAAAAATTATTTGAGTCACTGAAAATTGTAATTAATAGCCATATAAAACTTCTTGTCGTTAACTAAAAAATGAAAATAAATGTAAAATCTAAACGTATTTGAACACTTGTATAAATATAAAAATAAAGCTTATATTAAAAAAATAAATCAGATCAATGATATAATGGCTCGGATTGGTGGTAGCTACATTGTAAATAGCTGATATACATTACAAAATATTATCCTTAATCTATCCTATTTGATATGGACCTAACATTAAAGAATTTTTTCATATAAAATTCAGCTTATTTAAAATCTTGTAATATTAAAATGTCATAAATTACTTATTGTCAATAAGAAAATTGACAGGTAATTATAATACAATATAAAAATAGCAGAATATACATACATATTGAGAGAAGAATGTAAAACTATTACAATGATATCAGTTACTGTTGATGAACTATCTACAACTATGAACATATTAGACCTGCTTAAAACAGAAAAGACGCGACATAATATAAAAATAAAACATGTCTGTTTTGTGCTATTAAAGATAAATAGTGAGTGTTGTCGGAATTGAAACAAACAAATAAATCTACGAATGAACAAGACACAAATAAATCTAACTTAGAAGCCCTAAATAGTTACTAAGTAGTTTTTAAACCAAATAAAATTTATAAGTAAAATATCATTATGAGAGTTCTCATTCTAAACGAAAGAATTGGCCGGATACATCATCACAACCGAATATCAGATAACAAAAAAGAGGAATGCTTAAGCATTAATAAAAAAAAAACATAATTATGACAGTGGGCTGCCTTCAAAATCGTAAAGCTGCCATCACGAAATTAACCATTTACGAGAGACAGTTAAAAGGACAGAGGCGAGTAGTAGAGTGAGATGAGGAATTTGTAGATTTTGGGCGTAGCTTCGTGCCGAGTAACCGTAGGCGTCCGTGTGGTAGTCTCCCATTTGAAAGGTGATAGCCGGTGAAGACATTCTTCCGTCGCCACCATTCGAGTACGCGAGGACACGTAGATTGTAAGACTTGCCTGGCGTGAGATTCGTGACGTAGGCCTCGAGCTTATGCTCTACTAGAACTATTGTGTCGTTGGCTGTGCTCATGTCTTGATCTATCTCCCACACTCTCACCTGTAAAATACAAATCACATTACAATAACTGACTGCCAAAGGGTCTCAAGACCATTTATGTTGTGGGTGGAAGGAAAAGAACACCATTTTATAATCAAAGTGTGAGTACCTACCTTATATCCGAGCAGAGGTTCTTCTTCGTCGGTAGGCTGCACGTATCGCCACACTACGCGCACAGTCGTAGGGTTGTACGCCCACACATTTACGGACGCAGGCGGCTTCTGCGGTGCCTTACGGAATGTTCGCTCCAAGTACCTTTCGCTCTCCGGTCCCTCACCCGCCGAGTTGAACGCCATTACCTATAAATATTTTAAATTTTGCGTTTATTTAATGTTACCGGAATTGTTATGAAATAAATTATAAACATATCTTTGTTATTAAAAAAATATTACCTTAACAAAGTAATAAGTATCAGGTTGCAGTCCCACAATAAGAGCCCAGTTGCGCGTCGTTCTGGACAAGTAGTAAATACATTCTTCTTCCTTATTTGCTTGCTTCCAATACTTAAGACGATGACCTATCAGCTTGCCGCGCAGCCTTTCTCGAGACTGGTCTATGGGGTTCCATGTCACATTCAAAGATGTAGAGTTGAATGACCTCGCGTACACCATTTGTGGAGCAACTTGCGGCATATCCTCTGCGGAGTATATTGTCACCACTTCGCTCTCCGGACCTGCGCCGATATCGTTAAAAGCTTGCACTTTGACATCGTATGGTGTGTAAAAATAAGTTGTCGATATATGGACTACATAAGTCCCGATATTGCCATACTTCTTAAGAGACAACGACTGGAATTCAACCTCTGTACCATTGCGTCGCCAGAATATCTTGTAATAAATTCCTGGTCCATTCTGTAAAGATGGTGGCAAAGGATTCCACGTAATAGTAAGGTCACCGGTTTTTCCTCCACCACCTCCCACGTTAGCAGGCGCTTCATACGGCTTATCGGCAGGAGTAGAGAATTGTGGGCTAGGAGCTGAAGGCTTTCCAGGTCCCAACTGGTTTACGGCTTGCACTCTAAACTCATAAATTGCCCACGGCATTAATGTCGTTACTATCGTCGCACGTTTACGCCCATTGTATCGGTCAATTTCTATAACATTGGCGACGTTTTCACTGATCGTATACCACGTCGCGTTCCAATGTGTGCGACCTGTGACCATGTAACTAAGGATTGGACGACCATTCGAATTGCTGTCCGTCCATTCCAGTGTAACGGATGATCGTTGGATATTGAGAGTCTGCAAGCCCCCAGGAGGTCCCGGTGGTCCTTCGATACGCAGCTGAGTATGAGAAGATATCCGTCCAATGGCAGACTTTACTACACACTCGTAGTCTCCGACATCAGACAAACTAACGTTTAAGATAGTTAGTTCTCCGCCATCGATTTTTATCCTTTTATCAGCATACAAATCCGCAGCCTCCTTCATACGAATGCCGTTGTGGTTCCAGAGGTACGCTGTATCTAGCATTGGGTCTATTTCAGCACTACAGTGTAAGAAGACCACTTGATTAACTTGTGTTGTTATTCTAGGAGGGAGTCTTTCAAGGAACCGTGGAGCGCGCAGTACTATTAATCGGCCTCTACTTTCATCAGTTCCATATTGGTTTTTAGCTACGCAAGTATAAACGCCTTCGTCATCTCTAGATAGCTGTCTGATTATAAGGTTTCCAGTTTCGGCAATAAATCGTTTTCCTCCTGCACCGATTACGATATTATCTTTCTTCCAAGTGAATGTGGGTTTAGGAGCAGCCTCGGGGTTACATTTTAACGTAACATTACCACCTTCAGAACCGTAGGTTTCAGACTCAAGTGGACGCTTCTTAAACGACGGTTTCAAAGACAATACGCGTAACTGTCCTGTGGAGTAACTAGCTTTCAGTTGGTTTTTGGCTTCACATTGATACATTCCTGGGTCTCTAGTTGGATCTAAGTATTTAATAATTAATACATTATCTTGAATTACGTATCTGTCTCTATCGTCAGGCTCTAGAGTATCCATTGTCAATTTCTGTCCATTTTTCCACCAAGTATAGTTAACATCTGGAATACCAAATGCCTCACAATTCCAATGTAATTCACCTTTATTATCCATGTGCTTATCTGCTAAGGGAATAGTAAAGTTAGGTTTAGCTTGGACCTTCAGGAAGACACTGTTGGATATGTGTGCCCGGTCATTCTTTACATCACAAATGTATTCTCCTTCATCTTCAACACCAACATTAGGTATTGTTAGGACACGATCATAGTTACTCAGACGTGCTCTTTTTGGCATATTGCCATTCCTTCTGGTCCAGTTATAAGACGGTACTGGATAACCAAAAGAGACACATTCAAGACGGACTTCCTGTCCCACTACTGGTGCCTCAGGGAAAACCTTTGGGAAATTGTTTGGAAATTTAAGATGCTGATAGTCAGAATGTGGATACACAAACAGTGGGAAGAAAGGTCCATTGCGACCTGCATCAGACACCTTACTCATGACATTACAGCTGTAGTTACCCCTGTCAATGCTTTCTAATGCAGAAAAATAGAGTCCACCATCATATGACACAAAGACTCTTTTGTCTTCTTCTACAAGATTAGGGAAATAGTTACGAGCCCATAAAAAGTTCACTGCAGGATAATAAGATGGTGGATCACAGTACATGACTTTGCCCCAATATTGATTACCACTTTCTACAGATCTCTTTTGATTAAACTCTCTGATAAAACCAAAAGATAAACGCACTGATTCTGACCTGATGGTACCAAATTTATTGGAAGCTGTGCAGTGATACCTTGCATTATCTTTATCAGTGTCAGGAGTGTAAATCATGAGTGTTCCACCACTTAGAACAAACCTCGTATCAACTAACGGATCAATTTCCGTATAAATGGGGTTGTCTACTTGGTATTCCTCCCTGTACCATTTGTAGACAGGTGCAGGGTACCCACCAGCAATACAAGTCAACTGAACATGGTAGTTCCTCATAGGATCATAAATAGTGTCAACGGGCTCCTTTATGAAGTAAGGCCCTCTAGGAATCCTCTCAGGGTCATATGTTTCTAGTCCATATGTGAAGGATCGTTCTTCTTCAATAAGATAATGTAGTCTCTGTGACAGTCCTTCACAAATAAAATGATAGTACTGTGTGCCCTCAACAGGGGACAGACCCCACCGTCCATCCTGGTGCGAGAATTTGTACACTAAATAGTCACGAGGCAGTATGTTATAACTTGTATATATTTGTGAATGATCATTAAAAAATGCATTCTCCAATCCAGTTAACTGTGAACCATCAGCATCATTAGACCAATATCCTGGGGACTGTTGGTGAGCGCCAATGTACCAAGAACCCTTCTGTGGGTCTAATCTCATTAGATTTGTTATTATAAATCCATGCTCTTCAGGGCTATTGACAGACGCCAAGTCGGCTTCGTAAGCTAAACAAATTTTACGGGCCTCATTTCGTGGGCGGTCCGGTGACTTAGTGAAACGGTAACACGATTCCCGGAACCTGATCCAATTTGGCGGACACCTGTATCTTTCCTCGTAGTCCAAGCCGGCGTAATACGTCGCCGTGTTTTGAGGGTCAACCTCATTATCATTGTTACCGTAATTATCGGAGCTAAAATTGTCTTGGTAAAACGAGCTCTGGCCCGAATTATAATCGTTACCGTTCACAGGAAAACTGCCATAAGGTACCTGAGAGTTTGGACGATACAGACCAGTTCCATTCTGGTTGTTATCTTGGTAGGTTTGTTGAGGATAATTTGGATTAAACGTACCAACAGAATCGGGAACCTGACTCCTTACTATACTCGTCAGAGCGAATAATAACAAAACACACTTCATTTTCTATGACACAATGAAAAAATTAATATCATTATTTTCATGTCACTAACCGAAATTAGTTTTGTGTTATTGGACACGAGTTTTGCAGACTTTATTTATCACAGTTTCATTTTAAAATTCGTTTCTTATTTGAAAATAGCTTGATGATGACAAACACTCAAAACGAAGCCTCGCCCAAGTCAGCCTCGATCTATTCATTCAACGGAAACCATTCATTCAAGCTTAGTGATGTGCCACTGTCAAGTTTGACGTTTTAAGCTTTTATGATATTACAACCCAGAAATTAGGCAGAGTACACACTTAGAATATTCTTTTTCTTTGGTACTATATGAAACTATAAGGTAAATATTGATTTGGTATGTGAATGCCAGTGTGCCAGCCATAAGTTGAAAGGAAACATTTTATGGATTGTTAAAAATAATAAATAAAAGAAAATATAAATGTCAAAGGTGTTCCCTGTTTCCCTGTTGTCCCTGGAACATTAACTTACCTACATGATTAGCTTTACAGTTGCGTTTTCGTTCTTACTTAGACTATTCCATGTTTTCTCTTTTGTTTTTTATCCTTTATTTATCCTAGTATAAAAATACCTAATCCTAACATTCATTCAGTACCTAATTGCGGAGATGCGGGCTCGGAACGTATCGATTGGGTGGTCCCTTTCCTTCTCCTGCTCTGGGCGGTGCCTCATTGCGCTTACCCCGCCACCCCGGCTGAACATCAGCCCTTTAGGGCCCCGTCTGTTATGGTCTATTATTGGCTCTTTGAGGCGCGCACGGAACGCTACGCGCCGTACGCTCGGGCCTGGTTCTGGTCGGGCGGCGAGCTGCCCTTACTCGCTAACCACAGACCCGTGCTTACGGTGGCCGGAGATCGTCCCTTGATCCCCGACGCTCGTAGTGTCGCCAGTTGCGGCTGGGGCGTGAGGAGGAGCATTGCTCCCTCAGGCGGGCCGCCTCTCTCTTTGCGAGCATGACTGCTTCACAAAAGGAGGAGACGGCGTCCCAGTTCCTCTCACTCCGCACCATGGCCTAGACTAAGGCCGGGCGCGAGAGGTCACCACCGCCGAGGCAGGGCATACCGCCACCGTATGCTAAACCGTATCCTCTAGCTGGTCCTCGCAATGACGACCCTCGGGCGTTTACTCCCGCTGGATCCGAAACAGGAACCTACCGAATCTGCCGTGCCCGGTAAGAACCTGCGTCAGGCGGAAGGTGAGTACGCCGTGGCGTCTCTCAAGCCACTCCTCAAAGAGGGGTCTTACAGCTGCTATAATAGCGTGCATGGCCCTCGGTTGCGACAGTCGTTGTTTCCACTCTGATTCAGTACCTATGGAGTATGGACGTTCCATCTATGATACTTTTATTCTGTTCTGTATCGAAGGGATCTGGAATGGTTGGATTTTTTATGTATTTAGTTTTTTATCAGCAAATTAAGGGTATTTAAAATAAGCTATTCAATAACTTATGTTACAATTTTAAGGTATTCAATATCTTTTGGGTTTTTTGTGAGGGAAAAAGCGTCAAATGACTTCTCCCGCCCAGGGTGTGGCGGGAGGGATTGTCAGCCTCTTACTGACTTAAAAACCCCCCGTTCCTTCTCCTGCTCTGGGCCGAGTTCGCGGTGTATCTTGTAGGAGGATTGTGTAGTTCGTTCAAATATTTTGTGTCGTAGGTACGTACCTAATCCTCGAGGCTTTAGATTAGGAAGGGATTCGCATCAAAAAAATACGGTACGGTAATCCAATATTTGTGCCTCACGTCTGGTCGACTGCAGAATCGTTATCGAAACAAATTGGAACTTGGAACTGTATTAAAATGTCCATAGTAACGTGAAAAGTGGCGTGGAATGGCACATAACTTGTGAAAAGTACGACAATATAAATGGACCTCTGCCCACTATCTAGAAAATTAAGGCATAACTTTAAAAAATCAATTCATTTTATTTTACTACCGGCTCCATTTGATCGTAGCATGATGCGACCCTATAGCACTCAGGACCATTGTCGCTATCTATCAATGAAAGAATTTTGGCAATGTGACCAGCGGCTCCAAAGATTACCCCCTACATACAAACTTACAAATTCTACCACTTTATAATATTAGTTGCATGCCAGGTTACATTAATTACCTATGTTAATGAAAATAGCAGACAGCAGCTCCATAGGGAGCGTAGCAGAGCGTTCAATTCGACATGCATATTGAATGTGAACACCACAATGTCCAGGTGCATTAACATTGTATGAATAATTATAAGCAAGAAGAAAGGGAATTAAAAACATTTGCATGGTTCACGGTTTTATTTTCCATGTTATCAACAAGAAATAAGAGTCAATAATTATAGTAATACTTATATTGTAGGTATAGCTAAAACAGATAAAACATTACACGATCTCGATACCATTCAGAAAAGTATACAATTCTGTATAAATCGTTAGTTACATTTACTCCAAAAATTATCATTATTTTTCATACATTTTCCGCGCGCAATTCTCCTAAAATATTTCATCACAGATTAATAATGTACTTCTTCGTTTCTTGATTTCACAAAGAAATAAATAGATAGGGCGGAACATGGCCTTGACTACTGCTTAAAAACTGTTACCTACTTCGTACAGAGTCCCAAAATATTATACAGAAGTTTGTGTGCTAACTTGAATAATGCCACAACAATGTTTATATCAAACTTCACCGACATTATTTATATCAGTTATTTGCGCCGATCCAAATTAGTTAAAAAATAATTTGTTTGCAATTTCATCTTATTTACATTATAAATTATTTTGCGATATGCGTATTATGATTTAATAAATTTTCCTACTTTTTACAGGGCTGTATAAATAAAAACATAACTCATTTAATAATTAAAGTAAAATATTGTACAATATTAATATTTTGGGGAGACAATATATTAGCAAACATAACAAAGAACAGACATATTATAAATAAAAATTGATAAAGAAGTTACTAGTGTAATCTCAAAACATTATTTGATAACATAATAGATCATAGGTGATGTATCGATAACAGAGAAATAACAGAGATAGGGAGCATGAGAGGAGCGCACGATAATGTTCATAGAATCTACTTGCATACGATACTGCACTTGTTCATGCGCGATGACTTAAGTACAACAGTCGCGTGCATAAGGCCATCCAACCCTGTGACTTGATACCTTCACTCCAAATAGGTAATAATATAAATCATCTACAATGTTCAAGAATAACCACGTATACTATTGCACACACAGTATAAGATTATGCTAACGCCTTACAATTAACAGTGTGGTAACTACATGTCGTTAATTTCCTAAAATTAATATAATTACACTAATCATCTCGCCGCAGCGTTCATTACTTTATCACCTATCTACCCCATACACCGTACACCAACGTTAAATAGCACCCATGAGAATATCGAACATTTAAAGCAACATCTATACGCATTATTACTATAACTATTTACAATATTTACACACAACTTGTTCATTAGTATACACAACATCTCACAAGCCAGACTTTGTAGTGAGACAAAATTAATTGATTATGAAATGGCTGCCTTAAAATACACAGTCTCATAAAACGAATATGTTTATAATATTGTTCTTTAATGAGATACATGTTACATAACAATAATCAGTCAAGCTTGGTATTAAGATCTCGTTATTGAGCCGTCTCCAATCAAACACGAGTGTTATGTGTTTATTCAAAAACAATTTTATATGTATGTATGTAACTATGACATGAAATAATAACATGACAATTCATTTTATTGCCAATCGTAGCTATGATAAACTTGGCTACAGGATTGTAGCGACTGCGTTTTACTAACAATCGCTATAATCCCAATAAAATACATAATATGACGTTATTAAATTCGCTTTACAACAATTTCAAACTGTCCAAAGCTGATTGTAAAATTGCTTTTAAACAAAAGAGGTTAACTTAGGCCTTAAATCGTTACGTCCGTAGAAGATAATTATACTTTATTTGATCACTGAGTGGCCTTAAAATTTATCCTAATGTCAGCTAACCAAAACAGTTTCTATTTTGAGCAGTTGCCTCAGCTTGTCGGTCACCCTTACGAGGGCCACTTTTGAGGCACGCACATTAACTTTCTCTCCGGCGCCGAGCAGTTGGTGACACTGGGCTCGTTCCAGAAACTCCTGTGTACGAATCTCGCGCAACAACTCTTTCGGTGATCCAGACCCACAATGGATCTGTTTCAGAAGACTGTCCTTTGATTTGATCTGAAAATACAAACAGTAGGAATAAATAAAATACATAATGATTATGTATTTCAAATGCAGTTTATTCAATAATAAGCAAACAATATATAGGTACCTGTAATAAATTAGTGATGTCCTGCAACAAACACCACAAGCCGTCGGCTGGTTGGCCAGTAGGAGTCCTCAGGCTGTAGAAGGGCGGCAGTGGAGCCTCAGTGCACTGGATCTCAATCATAGAGTCCGGGGGCGGCGGTGGAGACGCGGGAGGAGGTGACGAGAGAGGATCGCAGCCCATCTCCTCACGATCTGAAAATTAATTTATTCTTATTATTCTCTTATTCAAAACACAACGTTTCAATATTGTAGACTGACAAAAAACATGTTAAACAAACAAATAACAAGGGTCGAAAATTTGGCGTACCTATCAGTTCTGTTGGTGGGGGAAACCGCCAAGGTTCAATTGCATTCCCCTGTACGTCGGCGATGTGTAATCTTAATAATGTTGCGGCGGGACCCTCTGTCAGTTCCTCAGGAGTCTGTCCAGAATATGTTCCGAGAAGGGGATCCGCGCCGTATGAGAGAAGTAGCCTTATTACTTCCACGTGACTGTTCTCGCAAGCTTCATGTAAAGGTCTGTGAATCAAGCATATAACACATTAGATAGAATTCTTATAACATGACAATATTGTGTTTATTATATTGAATTTAAGAGACTTGCAACTGACCTGATTCCTCCCTGAGCAGCAGCTGACACGTTTGCACCGTACTGTAGGAGAAGTCGAGCTATTCTGACATGACCCTTTGCGGCCGCCACATGTAAAGGTGTGAAGCCTGCATTATCTTTGGCTGAAGGATCCGATTCCAACTTCTCCAAACAATACGCGACACAATCCTGTTAAAGAATAAAATCATTACTAAGTACATAATTTTCCGAATTAGTATTATTTGTCATAAGTACATTTGTACAAGATACTTACCGTGTATCCAAGTCTAGCAGCTCTATGGAGATGCGTTTCTCCAATGCTCTTGTTAATGAACCAGCCTTTGATTTCTTTTTGGATGTCATGAACCGATTCCGGACTGGGCTTAGCAGCAGGTCTCCGTATTTTTGAGGCCGCTTCTTCTCGGCGTATTATCTTCTTCTTTTTTCGAATATAATCAAACCCGGAACTAAATTTTCTTCTACCAAAAAGGCGCTTCAGTCGCCTTTTATTATTCACACCTTCAGTTGGAACTAAAGAACTACCTTCTACTTTAGTTTTGTCTTTTTCCTCTGAAGTGGCGTTTTCGTTTTTATGTTTATTAGCTGACATTTCTTTAGTTCTCTTGTGATTCAAAGATTTCATTATGCTATTTCTTTTCTTTAAACGCATAAGACGACCCTTAGCATCGTTTCTTTTCAAAGATTTTGTGCTCCTCAGCCCATCCCTGATTGAACTAGATCTTCGTTTCAATTTATCTTTGACAATCTTTCTAGGCTTAAACTTAGGTTTCGACTCTGGTTCCTTTTTAATCTCAGTAACTTTGATCTCCTTTTCTTCCGGAACTTCTTCTTCGCGACAAGATGTTGGAGGCGCTGAAGCAGGTCGTTCATCACCAAATACTTCTTTTATTGTAGCTCTTTGTTTGAGTACACGACTTTCAGTCCTTGTTCTTGATTTGAGAACTACTGGGGCGAATTCTTCGGTCGCTCCTATCAGACCATCTGTGTCTTTAATAAATGAATTTCTGAAAGCAGTTACAGTTTCTTTACGGAATGCTCCTAAATAAAAAATATCCTCCATCAGTTTTTCTTTCTTAACATTATAACTGCCCTTATTTCCGTTTTTTACGAGGCCCAAGCTAGGTGTAGGTAGTAATTCACTCGACGACTTTTTAGGAATGATTTTAGGTGTTTTGTCATCTTTGTCTTTACCTTTCTTATCTTTTTTGCTTTCCTCTTTTTTCCCACATTTTTGTATCAGAACATCAACAATCGAGTTGCTTTTCTTTTTATTAATTTTAGAAGACAACACTGTCGAAGTAGATGCTTCAGAATCATAATGTAACTTGTTGGGTGTAGAATAACTAGAATTCGAATCTAAGTCACTATCAAGGGTCAGTTTATCAGGACGCCTTGCATACAAATCATCAGTAGCAGCCGAAGGTGCTGAAGATGGTGCTGGGGAAAGAGGAGCGGGGTCCAAATCAGGTAAAGAGGTGGAACCTCTAGTAAAGATTGGGCCTGATCCTCTAACAAACGGCCCACCCGAACGGCCTCGTGGTATGGCAATGAGTCTAGTGGGCATACGGAGGGAACGTTTATATTTATATAATTCTTCTTCCCACCCTGGGTGAAAATATGAACCATCGCCGAATGTTGGTTTTCTTACGGGTGTTGAACTATTACTTGCACTACTACTGTCTTGCTTCTTAACAGGCGATGATTTCACAGCGGTCTTGGAACTAAGTGCAATTTTATTTTCATCAGTCTTTGTATTTTTACGCATGCGTAGTCTTCTTGCCACACTGAGATCATCGTCATCACTATCTGAACTTGAATTAATCTCTGGTTTTTCATTTTTGTCAGTAGATAGCTTTGATTTTGTTCTTGACATTTGTCTAGATTGTTTGCCTTTACCTTGTTTTTCATCCTTATCCTTTGCAGAGTCCAGCGATTTTCTAGTATTTTTATTGACGTCCACATCACAACACTCGAGCTTAACATACGCAGATTTCTCTGACAAGTCTTTTAATAGTTGATATTTGAGTCGGTCGCTCTGTTCCTTTTCTTTCAGAATTTTGCTCTTAATAAGTGGTTCGTCATCATCTGTAGACTCACATTCTTCTTTTATCACCGTTTTAATAGGTATCTTTTCTTTGAATTCCTTTTTAGAAAGAGAATTATCTGATTTTTCGACTTTAATCTTCGCCTTTGCTTTACTTTTAGTAGATTTATCATCTTTATATTTTTCATTCTTTTTATCAATTTTGCTTTTTTCTTTATTGGATTGCCTATCAATTACAACAGATTCTGACACAGGCATTTCCATTTCACTTGTAATGTCATCCTCATCAATAGGCTCTTGTTTTATAACTACAGGTGGTATTAATTCTTCCGCTGATGGTTCAACTGTCGCTTGGGAGATGTCTCTCGCAGGCAGAGTAGTATCTTCTAGAGGTTTAAATGTCTGTCCTTCCAATGTATTGTTAATTGCTGGAATCATGGCATCTACCAATGAAGAAGGTTTATGTAAACCAGATTCAACAGAATCGATACTAAGAGACTTTTCAATTTTACTTTCATTGTCGTTATCATAGGTATCAATACGTTTCCTATGTGTTTTCTTTTTATGACATCCAGTTTTTAGCTGTTCCATGAAACTATCACAAGCACTCGCCCAATCTAAGTCTAAGTCTTCAACAGAAGTTTCAGTGGCTTCATTGATGCCAACTGGTTCTAAACTTTCCAAAATATTTTCCGTTTTAATAGATATTACTGCATCTTTTTCAATTTCTTCAATATTCATTGGCTCTGATTTAACTTCTGTAATAATTGTTGCAGGCGGCTCTTCATTTTTAATTACAGATTCTAATCTTAAATTGTCTTCCCTTATCTGATTGAACAAATGGGTTTTTCTGGGTAACAATTTTAATTTTTCATTTTCAGGCGGCGTAGCCTGTTTCGTCTCAACTTTAGTAATCGTCTCTTGTGATGGTGGCATTACTTTTAGTTCTGCTTTTGTTCTTATTCTGGAGGCCACATCGTTTTCAGGCGATATTGGCTTTGGATCTGGGCTATTGTTGTAATCGGAGTCACGTGGTAGAGAATCCACTGCTTTAGGCATTTGAATATGATGATGCAAGTTAGGAGTAATGTGATTAGTACGGACTTTCGTCAAATTTTTAGATGCCATGTCTGTTTCAGTATCTTTTGTAAGGTCTGTGATTTCAATTACAGAATCTTCTGCATCGTCTATTACTATGAGGTCAGGAACTTGCTTGGCTTGTCTAGGTGGTTCTACGAAACCTGTATGTTTTGTTTCTAAACTGTTTCTCAAAATACTTAGTACCCTTTTATCGGCAGGTATACCGCTGGAGGGATCAAAATGATGCGTATGAATATCTCTATGGCTCGGAATTTTTTGTATAACGTGATGACGGCTATTAACTGACGGATTCCTATCATGGTAGTGAGCATGGTACTCTCCTGTCTCACGAGCTAACTCAGGATGGTATGGGTTATTTGAGTATCTGCGGTTAGCATGTAAATGATGATCTCGATATGATACTCCGGCGAGAGCTGGTCGTTTTTGTTCGTGTTGATAACTTTCTATCTGTTGTTTATACCTGCTATAACTATACACTGGCTGTTTCATGAGCTCTCGTTGCTCTCGAGCAGACTGGTTGAGATGGTCTATCCGGCTGTCTGCTGTCCAAGTTTCATAGCGCACAATTTTTTCCGGAATGTTACTAACAATTGCATCTGCGGGACGTTTTCTCTCTTCTATAATAAAGTGTCGGTCATCACGAACTCTACTTTCCGAGAGACGTTGGTTACTCATAGATCGTGTAAGGTCTATCTTAGGAACGTAATCTGGTCTCACTGGAACACTTCTCTCTGGATAGGTGTGAGGAGATTCGACAGGATAGGCTTCCGTAACTGGTCGACGTGGTTCATAAGACCCGTTATAACGTAAAGAGGGAGCTGCAGGTTGAGACGGGGCCGCATAACCATGGGCTGTGCTTCTTTCCCCATATTGAGTAAAATTTGGAGCAAAATCAACTTTATGAGATGCAACATTATAGCTCGTAGTAGGTAAATGAGCATGGCTTCTACTTGACGACGAAGGCCGATGAGGTAGAGCAATCATTTTATTGTCTGCGGCAGAATCGACAACGTCATCTTGAGTCGTTGAAGAATCTGCTGAATTTTTGACAGTCTTTACCGATAAATCTAACGGCGACTCTCGCTTCTGTTTACTTTGAGTAACCTGAGCGACTGCAGCAGGTGGCTCTTGTTTTTGTTTGGTTTGATTCATTTGATTCACAAGAGACGTAACCGAAACCGTCATACGTGCCTGATTAGGATAACCAGGTTTTACTGCCGATCTTGCAGGAGAGGTTTGCACCGAATTAGTAGGAGCATACTCGTAACTAGTTTTAGGTGCTGCTGCCTGTCGATAAACAGATCTCGGTGGCGTTGAGTTTTGAACAATTGGAACAGGAGCATTAGACGGGTACCGAGATGTTGATGTTGACGGTGTTGGATAGTGGTATCCTCCTCTAGTGTCTACAGATCTATTAATAGCCGGATAGTCAGCGCGCGGCGGCAAGCGAGCAGCGTCATGAGGGTGCGGTGGGATTGGCACTGGCGATCGTTCTGGCCTGGGCGAGTAATGTGCGCTTAGAACTTCCATCGGAGCATGCGGTTTGTATTGCACTTGATGGTGTGTGTCGACGCGGTGACTTTGAACTGGTTGAGCGACTGGTGCAGGCCGATAGCTCGGGTAAGCTTGCTGATGATCATACTTTCGCTGGGGAAGTACGGGATGCCTCTCGTAATGTGTTGCAGTCCGGCCATAAGGCGAAGGTTCGCGACGTTGTTGAAGAGATGCATATTGCATTTGTGCTGATCTGCTATCCGCAGAATGCCTTTGTGCCGAAGGCGCTGGTTGCGGATGATGTATGGGTGGCACGCGATCGTTTGGTGGAGGCGGCGGTTGCGCAGGTGGCATTTGATATCGCTGTGTAGGTGGACTCTGAGCGGCTACATCGCGTAATCTTGACGTAGTGTGTTGCGGCATCGAGACCGATAACCTCGCATAAGTTTGTGGGCTTTGACGAGAATGTGATGAAGGCTGTGGCGAAGCAACTTGCCCATGAGAAGTTCTGTTTGCTTCTGACATATTTGGATCGTAATGGTACCGCCCATACTGCTCTGGTGGCCTAGACGTCGGATACGGGTCTGGTGGTCGACCTGGTGCGTAGTGGTCCGGTTGTCTTGCAGTTGGTGTTTGAACACGATGCACAGGAGGACGGTATTGTGTAGGGGGTTCCAACTGTGATTCTGGAGCAGAAGGAGGCTGCAGAGGCGCAGCAGATGGTGGTCTCGCAGGGGACGGACATGGTGCAGCGGGAGCTGGTGCAGGAGAGGGGAGTGCCCGCGATGGCTTGCGGATTATGTGCGATGGAGGTGAAAGGGTACCCACAGCTTCTTCGTCATCTTCTATCTCAGGTTGCTCGCGTCGCTTTTCTGCCGCTTCGCGCATTACTGTAGCCTTATGAATAATATGCGGTTCGGGCTCAATCGGTTCCGAGGGTGGCCTCGGAGGAGCTGGAATAGGCGTCGAGCTAGGGACGGATGGTGGGGCTGCTGCAGCTGAGGGTGGACGTGACGAGGGCGCTGGAGCCCCGGATTGTGCAGGAGTGCCTTCTTCTGGCGCTGGTGCAATCTGTGGCCATAGAGACTGGTTGGACCCCTCTGTTGGTGCTTGCTTCGGGACCCCCATAAAGTACTGGCGCGTCCCTTCCAGTACATTATTAAAAGACACGTCCATACTCCGTCTCCTCTTGATTTTACCTGAAAAAATAAAATGTTTCATATTAATAACTGACCAAGTACCTACTTATATGAAATTTTCATGAAATATGAGTTTTAAATAAGTTTGCGTTTGTTAATACAATCACGAAATACTAATAAAAGCTATATTCATCAATCATTGGTGTGAGCGAATAAATGCCGATATCGGTATTGAACGCACGACTTGTCGAAGGTGCGTGGTTGGGTCGTTACCCGGCGGCTGCCCTTGAGCGTACTTCGCCCCCGCACACACATACACACACGATGTACTATGCTTATAGAAATTCAGTATAATACACACATTGGCAACTTCCGCATGAGTATGTCGCATAAGTTAACTGACCTTCATTCGATTGAATGTCAAAAACCTCGCGTAATTAATTAGCGATTCTCTTTTGAGGCCACATTTCTTGCCAAACCAGTCACAATTTGTTTATCACACTATTCATAAATTTAGGGATACTACTATAATTATATGTACATAGTTAATGTGTATTTAAATGAAGAAATATTCGACGCGCCCTTGCATTCTTCTGGCCCGAGAGGCTAATTTTATAATAAACAAGATGTCCAGACAGAGCCGGCCCAAGGCCAGAAATATGTAAAAAATACGATGTCACATTTTTTCTTTATAAGAAGTTGTTATTTGTCGATACTTAATTGTTCTATTGCTACCTTTTAAGAAATATATGAATAAGAAAAAAGATTTTTTAGAGTTGGCTACTTGACTAGTGTGACTTTCATAAGTGCAAATAAAAAATATAACAAATATTCTGTTTAATATAAGTACCTATATACTACTAATTAAATCAGGATAACGTTAGGTAGGTAATATTTGGTTATACATATATAGCCTATAGGTATATTTTTATACTGGTGTAACTTCCCCCTAGAATTATTTTTAAATGCTTGTTGTTTACGGTTTAAGAAAATATTATGTACCGTCTGTAACGTCAATAAGGGATTATAATATTAAAAAGAAAGTATTAATCTTGTCTGTATAAGAAAAATAAACAAAGATAATATTGTAAGTAAAACATCGTGAACGGTGAAAGTAGGTTACAGATCGGATATTGTTTTTTTTTTAATCCACCTTCAGATAACATGGAAAAACAGGTTTGTCTCGGCAATTGATCTATTTAATTAGCTCTGATTAATGCCAATATTTTTAATAAAAACTAATATTAAAGTATTGAACCTTATTCAACAATCAGGTTCGTGCCAATTGGTATGATACATAAACCCTTAGACCCCAATTCACTGACGATGTTTGTAGTTGGTACAATACCAGTATCTAGGCGCATCGGAACAAATATTTGTAAAGCTTCCCGGACGGAAGCTGGTCTCCAAGCAACGCAGCTCGATCGATTGCATTCGGACCCTGGCAACACTGACGGAAGGGTACGGAGCTCTTGACTATCTAACCGATATTAGTGCATCTACATGACAAAGGAATTGTGATATGTTGCGTCTTCTCGACAATAATGCACTGTGCTACTTTTTTTTTTACATCGGAATAATTAATAAATTTAAATTTAAGTCAATTTAGCAATAGGATTTAAAAATAAATATTTAATGGTCCTACAAGTGCATAAATTAAAATGGAAATTATCACATGACTTATTTGAACAATTTACTAGTACCTATGTGTGTGGTCAAAAATCACAAAGAGAAACACCAATAATAAGACGTTGTTGACAAAAAAGACACGGTTATTATTATACAAACTTCTAAATCCAGACTAGGTCTGTCTATGTTAAAAATTCCAAGTACATATTTACCAAAAGACCAATCAATCCCTACTCCATTCACGATTTCGTGAAAGGTCAATGTCACCTACCCGACCGTCTGTAAGATACGGGGTTGACGACCCCGCGACTCATGTTATTTACCTATCACACGTAGATAGTATCTATATGCTACAAACGTCACTGATGCCGTTGGAAATAATAAACACAGATAAGAAAATTCTTGAGACACAAATATTTCAGTTTCGTTATAAACATTTGTCAATTTCAATTACCCCTTTTGAAACGAGCTATCTAAAGATAAGTTAGTCTGTAATGATATACTTTCTTTATTATCTCTGTTTTAACTGATAAGGGTTCATAATAATAAATAATATGACACAGATAATAAAGAAGAATAGAAATGGTTCGAAAAATAAAGCAATATTAACGGAGCTAATAATATACTTTACAATATTAGCTTTCTGAAAATACGTACCCAGTGAAAGTTAGATTATCTACACGGCGACATCTGCCTACTTGCTAGACAATAAGAAAATTATAACAGGCAATCTACTTACTGTAATTTAATGTTAAAAATAAATAATATTCGAATGTTCAGATGAACTAAATGACTACGCAATACTCAAGTTCTTAATTACTTGGCAAAACGTATCAGTTGTTTATAATTTTACGTGTAACTTTGATACAGAACACAGTATGTTCCTAATTATAAACTTAAAGTCGTAACGCGGGTTAAACCACGTTGTTTTAAGTGAAATAATAGCATGTGTGCATCGGAGCATTGCAAGATGCAATTACGCGTGGTGCACTTATGCGGATTCCGTTATGAGAATGTTTCACAGCAAAATCTACTTACCTTTGTAACATAAACGACCGGAATTCATGTTTAGCTCTCGTATAATTATTAATAATATTATCTGTTAGTAAATGATACCTAAATGATAGTTAGCTTTCCTTATCGTACAGCGACATTTTGCTCAAGATTATTTACTTCGATATTTTTTTGGGTTGTTGATTGTTTGTGGACGAAATGATTGCAAAAAGTCTAGGCATGTACTACGTAGACTGAATTAATGTAGATATAAAACTCATTACAACTATAACGATACATATCTTGGTAGGAAATACCGCAACATCCTACTTTGAAGCCATAGAACACATAGAGCACTGCGTTTTTTGCGCTGTCTACTCTGTGGTCCTTTTGACAAAACAGACCGATCACAACAGATCAATAAAAAAATCGTTAATGCACACTGTGTGTTTTTGAATTCTTTTTTCGAAACAACGTCAGAATTTGCTAATATTTCGCTGAAACCAATTTCCTTTGATCCTTCCAGAATGCGAGTGAAGCCGATCCTAAGTAAGCAACATTTACAGATGTTGTTGAAAAAAAACCAGAACCATACATATTATATACCAATTTAGTTTTACTTTTAATGCTTAAAAATATACCTAATGCATAACAATTTGTACAAAACTATTCATAAATCGAGTTTATTGCGTCGATTGTATTCTATTTATACCACCCGGAAAAAATGTCTACAGTACATTGAACTCGGTATACAGATACTATCTAGATAATTTTAAATATTAATATTGTATGAATAAAACATTGTAGACGGGATTTTTTTAAATATATTATTATAAAATTAAAGTATTACTTACGTGGTATAACAGCTACCCTGCTTGATGAGAGTGGTAGCTCCTAGGCGCGCTCATGACTTCGGTTTAGCTTCCAGCGAGACCTGCAATAAAAGGAAACAAACCTTTAATCACCTGAACATTGGTGCAATTGATCAGTGTTGCCATAATAAAGAATTTGTATAGCTACTGTATTCCCATTATCTCGTTGAGCTATTCATCGACATTTTCAAGGTTAGCTAAGAGCAAACATTACATAACTGGTCGTAGAGCGATTACGTCATTTATAACAACAATTTGTGCTATTTTATATTGAATAGGTGACACGAGTAAACTGCTTGAAGCTATCTCTACATTGTCATTATAGATAGATCTACCATGGAGGTAAATGGAGTAATGTATTACTTTACCGTTATTTCTGCAGACCTATTTCATTATTTACTGTAATTACTTTATGTTTATCATCGCATTTCAAAACAGGTAATCTTCTGTCGAAGAATAAAATATGTGTAAGCGCGCATACGCACAGTTCGCGAAGAAAGTAGTTTTCTATTTGACATTATAGCAACAATTTTCACACGTTCTCATTCGCACGAATAAAATTCCTTTAAAATACGACAGTTAGTTTAATTAAACTAAATTTTCTTACTTTTTAGAGTTTCGCCACGGTTGTCAAAATACCATTACATTACATGTTTATAAATATTAATAAATACAACAATGAACTAAGTGCCTACTGTTTCTATGACTAGGGATCACAATGATCCGAGATTAGTGCCAGATAGGTAAGTAAGTAAATAGTATTAGCAGGAAACAGAAATATACATATATATATATATATATATATATATATATAACTTATTTATATTTCGCATGTAAAATAAAGTACGTAGGTGCGAAAAGTAAGCCATGTGCTTCAAAATACACGAGCGGTGATGCTTAATAACTTCTAGTACGTAAAATCTAGTGCATTATCAATGCGAGCCATAGATAAGATGTTCCATAAACACACATTAGTGACATTATCAATAGTTTACAACATACGTCACACGCTGATAGGTAGGTAAGTGTTGCACCCAATGGACATTGACCCACATCCAACATCCGTTGACAAACGATTCAGCACATCATGCGAATTGACTTTTAAATCGATTTTGTTGAATAAAAAGAATATACAATAGGCGTGTTCCGATTCCGAATGACGTGTTTTGTTTTGTGCACCGTGTACGTACGATTATATAAACAACACAACTCGTAATCATTATAGGATTACCGTTTCTTTATAAGGAAAGTACTGAAATTAATAGGTACGTATCCGAGATTAATACTTTGTTATTGATCTCTCTTCCCGTCTGCCACGTTAATCTTCTTTAACAATTTGAAGGTAAAAAGATAATACAAAAACATCAAACAATCCTATTTTCATTAGACAAGGATAAAAAGGGATTTTATTAGAAGGCTTAAGACGCGGAAAATTGCTTTAGAACAACGAACGCCCTCTTTTCATGGACCTCACAATACTAAAGTGAACTTTAACTGATTTTAGTAAAAAATACGAAAACGGCTTTATAAGCTTATTAACCCTTAAATCGTGGTAATTCGAGACACAATAGAAGAACAATAGATAAACACCGGCGTTCTCTTCCCAGTCCCAAAATCCCCAAAATCCCAATCCTTAAAAGGTCGGCAACGCACTGGTAACTCCTTCTTTGTTGCGGGTGTCCATGGGCGACGCCGATTGCTTACCATCAGGTAATCCGTCTGCTCGTTTGCCGTCCTATCACATAAAAAAAAAGGAATTGATGAATTAAAGTAAGGAAAATTACAGTTCAACATATAATGATTATACAGGTATGAAAAGATAAAAAATATTGGAACTAATTTCGTATTTATGTGCCGACGTCGTTAAATTCCTAATAACATTTCACATTATAATATCCTACTTATAATGCCGTTCTTTACGTTATTTACCTCCGTAAAATCAATCGGATTTCAATAACCACGATTAAATATGTATTAAATTCAAATCTGATTTTATATTTGTAAGTTTATCAACATTCTACAGATCACAGATCACATATCGGATACCGACCCATGATCATGTTTGAAATTTCAAAATGGAATCTAGGTAGGTACTTTGTGTGTTCGAAATATTAATTCAAATAAAATAAGAATGAACATTAAGTTATAAACGGCACTGTAACCAACCTAAGTAAGTATATTAAATGAATTAAACATTGTAACAACAAATAAGAAAATTATGTAAATACAATAAGACGTAAAACTAGTTTTACCTATGTAGATTTGCGTGTAAGAAAGAAGTATCAAAGTGTAGACGTCAAAAAACAAAATTTTCATCGACTAGGCGCGCGTGTGTTTAACACTATTTACGTACCTACACAGACGCGATACAGCTGTGTCGGGTCGTTGCCCCCGCGAGTCGCGCGAAACAAGGTGAATCGTAGTGTCTGTACTTTTTGTCTCCTTCATTATTTAAATAAGACTGCAAACGTTTTTATACCTAGTGTTTCGCAAATTCTATAAATAATAATGTAGCACTTATGAGATCACTAGCCGAGTGCTACAATGTGGGTGTCAAGTAACAACGCAGGTATCGCATGGACATCTGGAACTAAGCCGATTGTAATTAGTTATCTATTTAACTAATGGTTTCAGTTTGATTCTTAGAATTTCCTTGTTTGATTCATTTATCCATGGCAGTGTTCCAAATATTAGTCTTGATGAGTCATAGTGGTTAATGGAATTACTTTTCGACGGCTTTGTGGGGCTTAAGAGGTTCTTTTCGGTATTTGAACACGTAAAGAAATCTATGTATTGTTTGTGAAAACGGACTAATTTTGTAATTATTTTTGCAACAAGATAAATTGCATGACTGACAATGATCGTGCGAAATACACATGGGTGCACGTGCACGTGTTGCATTCTTAAATTCCATCAGCAATAAAATAGTCGTCAAATAGAGGCACCAAACTAATTTCGAAGTCAATTAAGCTTCCCCACACCCTAGAGCGTCACGTTCGTGCAGAAATCATACACACTGCTCTGATGTGCACTCCCCACGGAGCACGGACAAATAATGGCCAAAGGGGATGCGTAGGGGAATGAAAATTATATCAGGCGTTCCCTCCACCTCCGGCCATTTTACACTATGGGGTCATGTTTAATTGATTCCATGAACAAACACTTCGTTTTATTTTTTTTTGCTTTTAGCTACATAATGTCATTGCAATTTTCGCAAATACGTTTAATGTGCTTAATGAAACTGTGTATCATAATTTTTAACTTAAATACAACCTAATAAACTTTATCTCTAAGGTTTTTTTTACAAAAACCTCATATCTGTAAAGTAATTCTTATTTCTTTAATGTAAACTTATAATTAAATACGTACTTCATCCCCGCGTACTCATAATTCTAATTCATGGCAACATTGACTAAGAATTAAGCTGAATAAAATATAAAAAGATAAAGATAAGTATCCATTTTTTTCTTATCAAAAGTAATAAAAATATTAGTCAGAATAGATTACAGGATCTCGATGCAGTGAAAAGAATCGTTGCTGCTCTGCGCGGGAGCGGCTCTGGCCCACATTGCGCGTTCTATTTTTCATTTGTGTTGCTAGCGCCCTCTATAATTAGATCCGCATTGTTTATGGCCGTCGACCGACTAACATCAACCAGTTTCGATTGCCTTTACTTCCTGTATTTGTTTCTATTTGTGTAATGGAATGATGGAATTTCATATTATTCTGTTTATTTACACGCCTACCTACGACTACACAATACAACCACAAGTTGATAGAGTCGTATTTACTTTGAGACGATTCCGTAAAAAGTTCTTAAATAGATTGTGAATTAAAATTCATTATTTTTATGCTTGAAACCATTGTTATGATTAACAATAAACTCTTTAGAGAATTCTACCTTTTCAAGTATCTAAATAGTTTATTCGATGAGTAATCCTGCTGATTAAAATGTGCGTACTCAGAACTAATTCAATAATAAACAAACAGGTTTATTTAAAGTAAAACTGTGCGAAATAAACACAATCCATTTCGTCACAAGGGTAACCCAACTATTTTGTTTATGTTGTAAACTTACGGAAACTTTATAGCTTACTACAGCGGATACGTAAATATAGGCAAATACTATTCATTTGTATTGACGTTTAAAAGTTAGGTACCTATTAGCATGGGTCAACAATCCAGACTGTCAACTTCGCTTCATAATAATGAATCAAATATAACACTTAAAAACGTCATCAGTATGGATTGTTTACATTAATACTTTACTAATTAAAGGTAAAAGAACAAATTACGTACACACAGAACCAAATGGATAGGATGATAGGACTTCTTTTATGCGACGATTCTTTTAAACGAGCGGATAACCTGATGGTAAGCGATCGTCGCTGCCCAAGGTCACCTGCGTTACTGTCTGCAACTGACTGCTACTGTCTGCGCTGTCGGCCTTTTGGGGATTAGGGTTTCAGAGATTTAGTAATTGAAGAGGGATGGTCGAAGGGGAAGGATTGAGCCTCCGGTAACATCACTGATGCGGCAAAAAAACGCCGTGGTTAGGTATTTCAGGCCGATTTTATGTCAGAGCGTTGTATGACTCCAGTCGAGCAAACCTATTTCGTGCCGAAACATTGCTCTCCATGACAATTAAATCTTATCCATAATTTAATCAGTAGTACGACAGTTGCATTGCGAATTCTCAACAAAATCCGATGTACAGCAGCGAACAGCTGTGTGTTCTTACAAATAGGTTGAGATAAAATACCTACTGAGGCTATTTTAAGAGTTGTAACAAGTAGAGCTCGACAATTTGGAGTGACTCCAACATTCACCTAACTATAAAGATCGTGGTCGTCCTTTTGTTAACTGCCCGTGTTGATGTACTAATAGGAAATGAGACGAGATTGAGAAACTTTACACCAAGTCTCCACAGTGCTTTGTTTTCTTTCCACTTAAAAACTTTAATAATACGCGTTGTTGTTTTTGTCTGGGAAAACTTAATGAATGAGAATGCTAATAAGGAAAATTTTAATTGAAAATTTAATTTCGATGCAAAGCTATGGGCGAAATATGATGTACAGGTCCTCTTTCTTCGTATTTTTACTTTTTGTTTGCAACAAAGCTCGAAAGAAATGTTCGTATAACTTGTTGTCGCGCAAATATTTATAAGGTTTATTTGTACTGTTTCCAATTTCGGCGAATTTACCTTATTTAGATATTTATAATATCTATGAACGATTTCGAGGAATAATATTTGGGTGTCAGTTTCTGGTTTCTGAGTGTAGGTGTTTGACATCCAAATTGGTCGATCGTGTTATATTAAATATTTACCATCATTGTATTATTTTATTTTTGTAAATAAAAGTAAACATATTGTAAGTTAACTTTCTATTTTCTTACATAACGTCCTATATCACTTCAACATAATTGTTCTTAATACCTAGCACAGCAGAGTACTAAAATAAACTACGAATCGAATAGCCAAACTGTCTCTCGAGAAAGCGTGACGCAAACGAAATTTTCTGCACAACGGCAACGTGTAACTAACCTACTACTATTATTTTTAAAGTATCGTCGTTTAAGATTAGGTTTAAATATATAAAAAAGAAAATAATAATAAGACTTATTTAGATACATATATTGTGTTTTATCGTAAACGAAAGTAATCTTGATAGTTGCATCGTCGCTGGTTGATTGTGACACTCAACTAAGTTGTTTTCCTTCAACTGTTAGTGTGTCAGTAGGTCAATAGTTGTCTGCAACCGTACAATTCGCAAACAACTCACGAACCTGTTCACTATTATTAAAGCGTAGATTCATAAACTTACTGACACATTTATAAAGCTATTTAAGAGGCCAAGTAAACTGACCGAGCGATTCCATATACACATAATTGTAGTGTGATAGAATTAAAATAAAATTGTGTCAACTAACTATGTCTATGACCATAACAGCAGCGATTACCTAACAATGTATGTACGTTTCCTGCATGCAATAGAATTGTACATAATTCACTACATATTGCTGCTATTACATAATTCGCGTTAGTGATAATCTTTCGCACGACTCCAATAGCGCCAAATTCGATGGCAGGTAGCGTAGTGATGTGTGTTACCCAGTTGTGCACTGGCAGTTTGTGCAAACGAATGGCGGACGAAGGAACTACACTATCGGTCACTGTGCCAATGTCACGGCTCTAGTCCTTCACTACCCAACTCGTTTGGTTTTAGTTTTTCTAATGAAACATCAAACATACGACATATCTCGTATTAAAGTGGTTTAGTAACGTTTATCAAAAATAGTATTACCAAGTACGATGTTAATCAGCTAATCGGTTCAGTTAAGCAAAGTTTCCCACGATTCTTCATCGTGAAAACATCGGTCACATAACCTCATCCAGTGTTATCTAATCAAAGATTACCGTATATTCCGTGTAAGAGAAAAGGAAAATAGATATATGATTCACGAAGCGGTAAGGCAGGTGATGATAAAATTCGCGTGAAAACGAATCAGTTGTGAATTCCAGAAATGTTATGGAACGTATTGAAGCATTCTACGTAATATTTATGTGCGTATGTGTACAGCTTTAGCGGTTAGTAGGTATATAGGAAGCGCTACAACGTTATCTAAATTGATAACCTTTGTAGCGTACTGCTCTGGACTTAAATTAATGTAAATAATATATCAGTGCCTGGTTACGCGTTCATAGATAAACAGTCAAGTATTCTTGTATTTAGTTAATGCTTTGTTATAGTAATAAAGATGCTATGATTTAAAAAAATACGAAGCAAACAATAGGTTTGCAAGCTTATATTTTTATGCCAAAAAAATTGGTTCCAACAGGATTTTTTGTCTCCTTCAATTTTCACCAATGATAATGTACAAAACAAAAACAAAAGTGAATCACAATTAAATATGAAATCTTTATCATAGAGTAGATACGATAACAAGTAAATGAAACCATAATTAGAAAATTATCAAATTATTTGGTATTGATAAATGGATACTTGTTTTAAAGGCCCTGTTTAGAAGTCCAAAAATGTACCATTTGATAAATATTATACAAAATTTTACTGTTTGTTACTAGTGTGTCATTTATGCCGACAAGTTGCACTTATTTCATAACTCAAATGTACTTACTTACATACACTGACGATCACTTCATAACCCCCTTCAACAAGCATTTAACATAAAACTTCCATAAAAATTTTGCAATAAGCAATCCGTATAAATGCGCCAATGAGCAGGTCTGGCTGCTTCGAGCAACGCGGAAATAGAGGTGAAAGTGGGGTGAAAGCTGCGCGCAACGTTTACCTAATCGCATTGGTGCGGCGCGGGCGCAGCGGCGGGCGGCGTTACATCAGCGCCACACGACACAAATGTGAAAGTCAATGTTACATTCGATAATCGTGCTGCTCGAGACACACATGATGGTTGCCAGACGGAATTTGCTAGGGTTACCGTTAATTTGTACCGTTAATATGTTTAAACTTGCAGTTAACTAACAAATACTTTCGTTTGTCCCACCACGATAGCAAGTATTTTTCCTTCGTGACGTGGAAGTTAAGAAATGTGGAATGTGTGTCTCGTGATAACGCTAACGATCGTTAGTAGAGTAATTAATAAAATATCCAACACGTTAGTAATAAATTATACGCAGTTAAACAGATAGCTACAAAATAAACTAAGTACGTAAAAGGGAGGAGTTAGGAATAAAGGTCTGCAGAAGTTGAGATTATGAAGCGTGTAAGAAACATTGACATTACCTAGTATGCATGTTCAAAGTCACTTTAGCTACAAAATCACGTTACTAAGTAAACAAACACGAGGACGAGGTATTTCACGAAATGGAGCGTGTAGAGAAAGTGGTCGGTCGTTATCGTAACGGTAAGTGATAGTCGGTATCTAAGTGGGTCGTAGCTCGGCGCAAACGCTAACTAGTGCAAACTGCTCTTATCTGCTAAATACGTAGTGTGTTTAACTCTATTTGTACACACAAATAACCAAAACGTTCATTTGCAAATACATTATCACTAAATATCAACACATCGCGAAAGAAAAGCGTCAAATCTTATTACCTCCATCCAATCAATTTAGGCGAAAATTATGTGCTACTTTTGTCGATAAATTCTTGACCCAAATCTGCTCAAGTGGTACTTAATAATGGAATGTAGGCTACCAAATAATAATTCAACTAATTACTGGATTTCATCGATCACGGAGACTTAAAATTTGGTTTATAAATGGTGGCAAGTAAATGATACATGTATACTAGTAATATTAAATCTCACAGCATTCTTTTAAGTTTTCAATTGTTCCAAGAATGGCTTCCCTATCCGCCGATCGGCAATTATTGCCCGTGAGCAAGTAGTGAGCAGTAAATATCAGCGGAGGTTGTTTTAAAGTGCTAATAACGAGTGCCTTCCTTGTAATGTCGTCAGTGTCTGTCTGCGGCGAGTAGGAAACGCCAGCCGCCCGCGAATGTGCCTTGACCCACTTTAAGCCTACCTCATCATGAGCGCGAACCTAGCTCTCGCTCGCTAGCTATAACATGTTTGTTTAATAATTTTAAAATCATATTGTACTAGGACGCTCGCAGATATGAAAATGAAAGCACAAATGTACTTGTCAATACAAAGCTAAATCAAAAAAATCTAATCAATAGTGCGCAAGTTACTTTTATCTACGAACATTGATAGGAAAACAGATCTATCGGTACGTCTAGTTTTTCTTTAGATTTTGTTTCGACGTTTTTTGTTCAGTTCAACTCAGGAGGGATAATAGTTTACAAGGATAACAAGTAGTAATTTAAACAAATATCGAGAGCACAGAATGTCAACCGTGTTCTAAATTTAGTGAACTTGCTCACGAGGTCGCGATGCGCGTCAGTCAAATCGTAAAGATGGCGCCCGTATATTCGCAATCTCGATGTCTCATTAGCTTTGCAGCCTTGCTCAACAATTCACAATGAGTAATTTATACATGTAGCAAATAGATTCAGAAGGCCAGCATAGCAAGCGAGCGTGAGAATTCGTAGAATGTTCACTGCACCTGCCTGAACTCTCCGAATCAGAATTTACAGCATAGAACAAAACATCTCTTGCCTGCCCGAGAGTTAGGCACCTATTGGCCTATTTTATTATTTTTGGCATTGTTTTCTTTTGTGGTTCCGCTTTCCAACGATGTGGTAAACAATTTTATTCAGTATAATACGAACAACTAATAGGTAATGTAGTTTTTCTACATTGTATCCAAGTTATATTATTCAATACCTAATTGATACAATACATAGCTAGGAAAGTAATTAGAACCTCTTCAAGACTTAACTTCAGATGCGTAGATACAGTAAAAACGGTCTCAACTAGAAAACATTATAATGATTAAGGAAAAGAAATACTTACAATGGCCATTTAGCTGCTGGTAATCCAAATAGATAACAATCCAATAAAAACACAAATCACTTGTTTACAGAGCATAACAATCAGAGAACTGTCGTTGTAGTGTACACTGCACTTTTAAATGAATCAATTTTCTCTGATACAATTCTATCGTTGCACACACACTGAGCAGATAATTCACGAACTCCACTGTGAGTTTCTTCAATAACAGTATAAATAAGATTACATAAAACCACACACACCGTATCTGGGTTCACACCCAGTTCCAAGTAGGTACCTGTAACAAGACAAAGCGGTAGTAAGTTTTACGATTCTATTCGATTATAAACGAAGATGGAAATACAGTCCTAAATACAAAACACTGTGATAAGACACGTGTCACTTACTAGATTTGTGTGACTTTTAAAATGAGCACAAAATTAACTATGACGTAAAGAAGTCGGCAGTCGTCGAGACATAAGACGTGCGGTCTGTTCACCGACCAAACGCTGACTGGCTGGCGCAATGGAGGGGCGCCGGGGGAGGGGAGAACAGGCAGGCAGACGGACGGAGGACAAAGCGAGGGAGGGAGAGCGTCTGGTCGACTGGTTGGTCGACCTATTGGCTTGACACACACACAGCAGCAATGTCAGACAGAAGATTGTAGGCTGTTTTGTGCAGTGCGACATTATAATATTAAACTTATGGCTTTTAAAATGATTTCTTGTGCAGCTGGATGAACCACACGGAACTCTTTAAATGGGATAATTTTTATGATAAATAACTTTAAATAAGTGATGCCAGATTAATATAACGAACTGTAGGTCTCTTAAGTTTGACTGAGCGGCCATCCGAGAAGTATACGCAACCTTCAGAATTTCTCATGGTCAGGCGCCCGAGCGTAAAGGTCATCGTGTAGCTACTACAGCAAATAGGTAAGTAACAATGCCGAAATGCTTACAGACAAACAAGATTTGTTCTACATTTTCCTTCTTAAAATGTAAAACAGGACAGTAGAGATGTAAATAGATTCCACCCATCCTTATGTTATCTATGACAAATGAAAAACTGACTTCGACTAGATAACTTCGCAGATAACAATTGATAAAAATGATGTTGTAAGGGCCAAAGCCAAAAGTGTATTGATAGTATGTCATTCGATCATTTTCATTAATCATATAATCATTTTAAATCTGTTAGTTATTGTGTATTTACGGTAGATAAATGCATCGTTGTTCATAATGTTAAATTATCACTTCCATTTTTTTTATTTTAGTGGCGTAAAACTACATGAGGTAACCTTCATATTTAGTTTTTAATTTTTATTTTTAGGGACCTACAGTACGCATTAAGCAAAAAAGTTTCTATTTCGATTTAAAAACAATGAACAGTTGCTATTTCGTAGGTAATTGTAGCCCATATCCCATTATAGCTACACATTTATAATAATATATAATATAAATATGTCCACGATATTATACATACTGAGAATGTCAGACAATGTCACCGAATAATTATCAGCTGAAACAAGGTTGTTAGCCTGAATTCAGTTTCACGTTTATGACGGAATATGTAAGTGTCATATGTACCAAATTTCCTAAAAGACACCAAAAAGAGCGATGTTTAGTTACTTATCACTCACTAGACGCCAAACGATCCATTTAATTTTACATACTAACTAATTACAAAACTATTTCAACTATGATAAGCTGAAGGTCTGTTGGTATACTAATAGCTCGTGTCATTAATAATAACTTAACTAACAGATACTTAGAAATATATTTCATTAATAAGTTTAGTACAGAATATCCTATACTACCTATGTATTTTAATAAACCGATTTTTTGTATGTATAAACTACTGAATAGATTTAAACGAAATTTGTTATAGAGTAAGATTATATTCTGGAATAACACAAAGGGCACTTTTTATCCCGGAAACGAGGGCGAAGCCGCTCGCTACATAGCTATTTAATATATAAGTTAAATGGACTTCTCAATATATTTTTAAGTGTCTACATTTATTTTGTATGTACTTAATAAATATTATAAATAGAAGCTAGTATCTAATCTAATAAAATTAATCAAGTATAATTTAGTGACTAACGTATTTAACTTGTGTTACCTACGCGTGCTTGAGGAAAAAAAACCGGTACACCGCATGGATTCATTTGAAATTGTAATAATGACAAACATTTAAATTGGATTTATATATAAGCAATAATAAATAAACGAGGTTGTATATCCTCGTGTAGTGCTCGATTCGACCGCTCTACCGCTGCCCATTACGTCGCGTACCACGGACAAATAAAAATAAATACGCGGATAATCTTCGTGGGGGTAACGCACTTGTTTTGGTTTATAGCTCTCTCTCTCTATCTCTCTCTCTCTCTTGCACTTCGATCGTTTTTTTTCAATCCTATATGCCAAGTCAAGTCATTGCCTTACCAGTTTATTTATTTTTAATGGTAGCAATTTAACTCGTGGCAAAATTTACGAACCTTTCACCAGTAGGTTCTGGTTCTAGTCTTGGTCTGGTCTTATTGTTATCGCGATTGCATTTTTTTGTGGTTAACAAATCTGATACAATTAGACTTCAACCGCCCTCTTTCGTACAAAGTGAGTCACACCAGTTTTTATCATCAATGCTTCAGTTTTTTCGCCAGTATGAAAAAAAAACTTGCCGACATAATATAAAATTAAAAAAGCACTTCAAAATCTGCTAGATTTTATTTTAAACATTATGTAGTTACCTGCATTCATATTATAGGAAAAACCAAAAGCAATGAGATTTTCTTACCCGATTAGGTAAGTTAACGTAGTTCGGCATTCGAAATAGTGTTCTAGAGTTTGGAAATGTATAAAAAATAATTAATTCGCTCCGCTCCAAGATATATTCAGTTGTATTGCAAACGCTTCGTCTTGTTGCAAAATTGCCAAGGTCAATAATACATAAATGGTTAAGCCACACACGCACAGTTTACCTCAAGCTCAGCACATTGATTCCGGGCAACCGGTCAGTTGCATATCACGTAGGTATTTCACAACTTAAGGTTTATTTGCGGCGTTTCGTCGTCGTCGGTCGGCAGTGGTCGCGATGCGTGAGAGCAGTCAAGCAGTGTCAGCAATGTGGGCACGTAGCACGTACCACCGCGGTTGGATAAAGACTGGGACCAGTTCTGTTCTAGAGAAAGTGTCCGTTTCCAAGCGAATACTTTCCAAGTGATCGTCATGTTTCGACGAGTCGTACGCGCCGAGTTACAGAGGCTCTAGCGGAATATCGTTACCCCGTTTTTGCGTAACGAGGTCGCCTTTAAAGTTCGTCATAATGATCTCTGTTACGGGCGGCAACTAAATTTCACTTATTCCACTAGATTGCGTAATTGATGAAAATGACACGTACGGTTTAGAATCGACGAATATAATAATTATATTGAATTATTATTGTCACGCAAGGCTCACGGCACGTTTTAACGAGGCCGCATTTTGATGACAGATGAGCTCTTCTTCTGAATTGTTTTGTGGAAAAGAAATAAAGTCTAAACGTAACAGAATGTACCTTCTTGTACTATTTATAAGAAAGAATTGTTGCATAATTGTTGTGAATTTATTTCGAAATAAAAAACCCGTTTTAACTTAGTAACCAGTAGTAACATTCTCCGTTGTTCTTTAGTCAGTAAATATTTAATTTTAAACAAAAGAAACGGTAAATGCAATTTAAATAAACTGCTACAAACGTTCGCGGGTTACTGAGAAACTAAATTTTGAGGAAACCAGCAATGAATATAAAGAGTAAAATAAAAGTGATTCAAAGTAGTGGTGCGCGGTGGTATTCGTTTTCCGTTATTCGAAACGGTCCACTCTCGGAGCCGCTACGATACGCGACGTTACGTTACACGGATCAGACTACAAACTTAAAAATACAGCCAGATAAGGTGTCACAACATAGTTAACACGTGTGTACAGCTTTGATGATGTCATCACAGTGCTGTGTCATTTGGAATGTTCATATTTTCCCGACGAATGCTGCAAGTGATGCTGATGTAGGTTAAGTAATTTGTTACTTAATCGTTCTGATACTGTGACATGCGCGAGACTAATGTCTAATGTTTAGGTTTAAAGGTCGTTCCACATTTTCTAAACATTATACGCATCACAGTATGAAGTAATAGAAATAAACACTAATATTTTCTAATTAATCTCTTTAGGAAATAATAATAATTAGTAGTTAATTCATTATTTAAAATATGACACCCTAGTATCCTGTAAGGGTATGGTCACGCAAATCTTTCTATTTACCTACGTAATGTAGATTCTTCTTAAATGTAACTTACCGGCGGATATTCTACGAACTTGCGAAACCATAGTCGTGCAGTGGTATAGTCGCTGGCAGGTTAGTAGATTACATAGACAAACATGAATTTATAGGCATACAAAATGTATATCCAATAAATGCTACCAAAAGTATTTGTTGAGAATACGAATACAAAAATTTTTTAGTTTTTTTTTTAGTTCAAGAAAGATTTTGACATTTCAAAATGGCCGCCTGCATAGACTGACATAATAATTTAAACGTAGTGCTTAAATTCTCTTTGTTATAATGGTAAGAGGTAGTACATAGCAGGAGTTTTGAAGAAATATATCTAACTAATTTAAATATTCTAGAAGAAAGAAAATGAAAAAGGCTTAGAATTGAGACATGTATACAATTTCTTGATCAGTCGAACCAATATTAAATGTTCGTAAGTGTGACGCTAACAAACCACTAGGACCTGCCTACTCGACTAATCAACGCTAATATACAGATAATAAATGAGCATTATCTCTAAGTAAATAACGTTCAATGACACTTCCTTATCAAATTACTGTATTCATTTGCTGTTTACTTTATCTAAATGGTGACAAATTATAAAATATATAAATTGTTGCAATGACGGCCTAAATGTCACTGTTTACCTTGATAATAATGAATAGGAGTTGCCCCTGACTTTGTATTTATTAAAATATTTTAGGTTTTTTATGTGATAGGCGGGTAAACGAGCAATAGGATTGCCTGATGATCTTTTGGGGATTAGTGTTTCGGAGATTTAGGGATTGGGGAAGAATTGGGCCTTCGGTAAATTTGAGACGGCGAAACACAACGCTGTGGTTGTTTCACGCCAGTCTTCTGTAACGCCGTGTACTCGAGTCGAGCCAGTCCATTCGTGTCGAAGTTTCGCTCTCTATTTAGATATTTGGATGATTTTATTATAACAACTAGGCAAACTCAAATAATGTCAGTAACAGTGCTATCAAATAATTGGGTGTTTCAAAAAACCGAATCTATCGATTTAAGCTGTATTCGAATATGTAGGTAAGTAGGTGATCGAGTTTAGTGATCGGTATAAAAGTGATTATAACGAACAAGAGCGAGGGCTGACCTTGCTTCGCTCATGGACACCGCAATTGGGTCAGTGGGTCAGCAATTTTGCGCTTTTTCACTGGCTACATTCCCCTACGAC